CTAAGGTGGAAAGGGTGCTGAGTGACTGCTAATTGACACCAGGCTGTCTGTCCTGGTGAGAAAATCGGTCTAAACCCAGGAACATAGTTGCAAACTCTGTAAACAAACTAAAAACCACTGGACAATACGTGTACTCTAGTTGGGTGAACTATATTATCTGGATTATAATCTCCATAAAGCTCTTATCAAAAATTAGCATGCCTGATGACATTTGCAAGATCTGGTAAGAAGTCTGGGGAAAAATCAGGTGACTGACTCACTCCAGATGMTGAAGGACATGGTCCCTGACAGCCCTGTATCCCCTCCCTGARCCCACCCCCTCTCATGGCAACCAACAGGCTCATCCTAACACTCCACGCTTCGCCTTCCTGTCTGGAAGAGAAACTGAGGACAGAGACAGTGCCCTGCCATGCAGCTGGGACCCGGGCACCCACCAGGGAACCACCAAGGAGCMGCTGGGATAAGAACTAGCATGGCATGCAGGTGGCTGCAAATGGGTGAGTAAAGCCCCAGGACTGGCCCTGCACAACCCAGAAGCCACGTCCCAGCCTTGCTCCTGAATCTGCTCTCCAATTTGTCCAAGCCCCTGGGTACCAAGCAGCCCCTGAAGCTCATCAAAGCCACATCACCCCAACTTCACCGTTCAGACATCAAGAGGCACACTGTGTATAACCATCAAGTCTCTTGCTTCAAAGAAAGCTGCCTGTCAGGATTTCTGCGTGGAGAGGCCCCACATACCATCAGCCAGGCTGCTAGAGGGAAGCAAACTTTGGCTCTATTTAAGCCATAGCCTGTGGGTCTCCCCCTCAGTCTTGTCTCTACCCTGTTATAAGCTGGGTGTGGGGATGTTGTGTGTTTGGGGGCCAGAGAGCATTTCAATGCTTTAACTGCTGGAGGACTGGTCATGACGTCGTCATCTAAACACTCAAGGAGACTTTCCTACAGAGTCTTTATGACAACTTCATGAATCAATAGACACAGAATTTAAATGCTACACATTTTGGTCATTTTGAGTGGTTAGGACACAATTATTTTTTTTCCTCTTTTTTTTTTTTTTTCAGTAGTGGGTACAGAATCCAGGGGCACTTTACCACTGAGCTATCCACTACCACTTTTCAAAACTTTTAAACTTTTGAGACAAGGTCTCAATAAATTGCTTAGGCCTTGCTCAAGTTGCACAGACTGGCCTTGAACTTGAGATCCTCCTGCCTCAGCCTCCGGCATCACTGGGAAGATACGTGGTTGCCACTATGTCTGGCTGAAACTGTTACTCTCATTAAGTAAACACTTAAATCACACAAAAACTACACTTTCAAAGGAACCAATCATTTACATTTTAAACAGCTGAGGAGCATTTACAATTTTAACCAAGAAATTATTTGTAAGACACTCTAAAGGGTACAGGATCTATCCCCAGACAGCTTAAGTTGCGGTGGCAAGAAAAATTGCCAAGATTAAACATGGTTTTCGATTTCTGTAACTTTCTTCCAAATAAGCTGACAACTTAAAAAATGAACCAATATATATGATGTAAAGCTTGATGATGTAACTGTAACCACATGGGCTTGATAACAGTCTTCAACTCTCCACACCATTAAGGGTTGAATATGAAATGATAAATTTTGCAAATCAGGTTTGTTGGAATTTTCAGCCAAACGTCGTATGTGGGTGAACTGTCAATGATGGGAGAGGCAGGGACACAAAAGCCACATACACCTTTGATAAATGAACAGGTCAGGGCAGGTAGCCACGCCACAGAGACGTCCACTCATGGCTCTCCCAGCAAGTTCTCTCCGTTTCTGTTTTGATATTCCAGATGACCTTGGGCAGGTTACTTATCCTCTGTGGGCCACTTTCCCAGTTTGTAAAGTGGGGATTATACTAATTGACATCTGCCTTCTCAGGAATGCCAGTCTCCGGAACCGTTCCACACAGCACTCAGAGATGCCTGCAAGAAAACTCTCCTCTCCCTACCAACCACAATGGCTGTGATTCACGATCCTTCAAAACTCTGAATCTCGGTTTTAAAAATACCTCTGTCTGGCCACTGTCATGCACATGACCAGTAGTTGTCCCCATTCTGCTTCTGGGGGCATGTTTATCTGCATTCACACAGACTGAGGCCTGGGAGGTGCTGAGAACCTCCCGCACCTGAAATCCACACCACCTGGGGTGTCACGATGGGTGCTCCTGGTCTTACCCTTTGCTGATGAGTAAGATCTGCTGTTYGCTCAAGGCTGCCTCATCAGAAATGTTACCCTGATCCTCATTTTAAATGTATTTTCAATGTTCTATTTCTAGCAAAATGTTTTTCTCTTAGTATATGTAAGAGATCAAGGGAAATAAGAATTTGTCTCTGAAAGATCCTTGAGCTTAAAGGTAAAATTTACATGAAACTTTAGGCTCAATCTACAAACCCTAACAGAAAGGAAGGAAGGAAGGAAGGAAGGAAGGAAGGAAGGAAGGAAGGAAGGAAGGAAGGAAGGAAGGAAGGAAACAAAGTGGCTGGGGGTACGGCTCAGTGGGTTGAGTGCTTGCCTCCCATGCACAATCCCCAGCACCACACACACACACACACACACACACAAAGAAAACAATTGAAATTTGGGTCAAAATAGAGATGAAATGGAGACTGTAAAAGGAAATAAAAGGAACAGAACACTGATTGTGAATAGGAAAAACGAAGATCACGTGTAAAGGATGAAAACAAACACAATGATCAAAGCAGATGCTGGTGCACATACAGAGGCTGAGGGAAACCTCTCAGGTCCCCAGAGAGGGCAGGTCAAAGAGAAAGACCATGTGGACTCGGTGCTCGGCTTTCCTGCATCCTGAAAAGACGTGTCAGGAACGGAGGGATTTTCAGGATCCAGAAGTTTGACAAGGGGGGTCCTCATTTGCAGGATGCTCCATGCTGTAACAGACTGGGCTCTCAGTGGTAATTAAAGAGAGCACGTGTTTTTAAACATGCAGTTTCTCTCTCAGTCAAGGCTAATGACAAATTCCTAGAAGGTTTTTACTGTTAAATTGTTCCTTGAGCCATGATATATATTTTTTTTAAGTCTGAACAACACTGTAGATTCGGGGTGGGGGGTGGGCGGCTCACATCTTCATTTTCAGGTGATGGGTTAAGTGTGGCCTTGGTAAAGACGCCGAGTCAGAAGAACAGTACTCGGGCTCCTGGGGGATGATCGAGATGGGCTGGGGAAGCTCTGGTTGGAGCTGTGTGGATGCGGCAGCTCTGAAGCTCAACTCCATCTTACAGTGACATTTCCAACTTTGTTTAACCACAGTGTTTAGTGTCACCTGTAACTCTGGCCAAAGGCACAAGATGAGTTAGGCACCTGGCAGGGTTGCACGGGAGCATCTTGGATTGAATCGCTCTGAGAGATCATGGCAACCAGAGACAGCAAACCAGAGCCAAAAGGGCAGGCGGGGCACAGTCCAAATGGCCCCCAAAGCAGAAAATATTTACTAGCTGGTCCTTGGCAGAAAAAGTTTGCAGCTTCCTGATAAGACTACTGGAATCCAGTGTCCCAGCCAAGGGAAGGGCTTTGCCAACAATCTTGTGCAGCTTGATGTGCCCAAAGAACGCCTGAGATCAATTCCTTCTACTGTGCAACATCTTCCTGAAGCAGACATTTGTCCTCGATGCAGGGCAACTGGTACTTCTTGCGAAGTTTTAATTAACCACAGAGCAAAATGCACCAATTCTACATTTTTTTTTTTGTCCAATAAGTAAGATTTCAACTATAAAAACAAATGAGCAGGTGTAGTGCACACCTGTATCCCCAGCAATGTAGAGGCAGAGGCAGGAGGATCTCAAGTTCAAAGCCGAGTTCAGCAACTCAATGAGAACCTGCCTCAAAATTAAAAACTAAAAAGGACTGGGGAAATAGCTTAATCGTAGAGTAACGCCCCGCRTTCAATCCCTAGTACCAAGGAAAACGAATTCACACCCTTTATTCTAGAGCCAAAATCCCTGGCAGAGATTAAAAACATGATGGATYGGACAATTTTACCATAATGAAAATTCTATGATTAAAACCATGTTCAACTAAAGAGTAAGAAGTCTGCATCTTAAAAATACATATATTTCGTTTAGTAAAACCTGAGCAAAGGTTTGATTCAGCCATGCCAGCAAATAACCTGTTTTTAACAGACACAGACCTATTAAACCAAATGGAACTTAGGAAAGGCCAACATTCAAAACTGAAAGGAAGATGCAGACRCTTGAAAAACAGCAGACCCTCAACAGCCTGCAAAATGACCCCACGGAAAGTGCTCACTGCCCCTAGCCAAGGGACACTCTAAAACCAGAGACCAGGTAGCAGCCGTGACCATTTTAACCTGAGTACTTTTTTTTAAATCTACCCTCTCAAAAAAGTGAATTTGAGAGAATTAAATGTGGCTTTAATTCATCAAGTGACATTATCCTCTCTGAAAACTTCTAATTTTGAAATCAGGTTCTCCTTTGATTTTCAAGTGAACAGGGCAGCCTAGTGCCCACCTTCCAGGCACTGCTGCCCCCCACCCATGGCTTGGCGATGCCTGTTGCTAGGGTGCCTGACTCTTTATTTCTGAAAGAAGGTGATTAGGGAGCAGCGAGATGGGCATCTACTGGATGGCAGGACGTCAGCACGGACATTGACATGTGCCACTCTGACCTGCAGTGCGCTGGCGCTGTGCGTCAGCACCGCGTGACATGCGTGTTCCTTCCCAACTGGAAACCCACCATGTCTACGGGCAAAGGGAGTCAAGTTCAGCCTCCACCCACTGGAACACTGGATCATGTTTGGGGGCAGGAATATGAATCTGTGGACCATTTTTTTTTAAAGGTTCTACGATTTCACAAAAGCAAAAAATAAAAAAACCAACAACATGCTGCATACATAATTACACAAATGAACACATGCACCTTCGACAAATAAAGATCGGGAAACAACCTGGAAGGCGACAGGAACTGTTCTGTGAATTCCACTCGTCGCATTTGCATTTACCTTTTTTGGCGTCTGTAAAGCAATCTTCAGTTACAGTCACCTCAAAAGGTCACTTGTCACCCTGAAAACAAGAGAACATCAAGATCTGAATGTCGGGGAAGTGGTCACCAGCGGAGCACAGGACACACGCGCGAGAGGCAAGCAACTTGGAGGGGGATCAGCAGCGAGGCCTGGGATTCCGAGTCTACCTGGACCGCGGGCCTCAAGCGCTTCGAGACCACCGCGTCCGTGTGGGTGGGAAAAGCCCAGGCGAGACACTTCAGATTTGCCTGTGAACTTTTCCTCTTTTTGTCATCTATCAGTTTATTTTTGTGTGGAATAATACGTGACTCATAGGTCCTTGTTTTTGGAAACCAGGCCGYTCTTGAACAGGGCCCTGTTTGGTTAACATCACAACATCTCTAATTTCATTAAAGGAGGGACTTGTTTTTTGTTTCTTATTTCATTCCCCTCTTCAGGCAAGAACTCATTCTCGTGGACAAGATGCCTTAGACCMCTTTGGACCTTTCAAGATGAATAAGAGCCCCACAGTCCTCAGCGTGGGGAGGGCTGGGGGGGAGTTAATGGTGGTGAAAGCTGCTCAGAGAATGTTCTGCACTGCATCTACCAGATCTCCCAGGCTAAATGAAAATGGTTCGTGGCACATGAAATATGCCACTTCCATCAGGCCTCCGAAAACACATATCCTACCCCACCCCGCCCCGGCATCTGCCTGCTCCATCCACAGAACGGTGGGTAATCCTTTCAGCAGCAGACTCGGCCTCTTTCTTTCTGAAACTGGGACCAACACACACGGCGCGAGGGGAAAGCAAAACATTTGTTTATTCATTCAGATCAAGTTACTAACAGGGTACAGGATTCACTCTGCCTGCCGCTGAGGACCAAATGCTCCTGTGACTTTTAAGACAGAGAAATCAGTCCTTAATGTGATTAGCAGGCTCATGTCCCTGCGCTCACTCTTCAGAACAGTACGTAATGAAGTGGTTTCGGTTTTATTTGAATCTATCCCTCTCAGCCCTCTGCCATCAGCCGTCAGCCCCAGTGCGAAAGGCAGCATCGCTAAGAGGAGGAAAAAGCTTCTTTCACCAGGGCTAAAAATTTTTAAAGTGGCACTTTGGTGTGTGCCATCTTTGAGGAATTGATCTGAGGCCAATTTATGACATTTCCCCAGGCAAGTGTATGCAGATTCTTGCCATTAAGATCGGAAAAAAAGATGCAGGCTCTGGGTGAAATCATCGTTCTCGTGTTTATTGTAAGAGGAAATTGGAGGTTTTCACCATAGATGTTCACAATTTGGGTGGGGGAAAACCCTAGTTCAGGGACTTGAAATTACTCTTCTGCAACAACCTGTCCCAAGCCTTTTTTTTTCTTTTGTTTTTACACAAAACAATTCAGATTGAAAATGAAATTTGTGCACTTTACTGCTGATCTACGTCCATAGGATGGGTGTCTCCAGGACAGGGAAGYGCTGTAGGGCAGGCTTTGGGACCTCGAGGTACACCAGAGGCATGGCTGCGCCCCACCACGGGATCAGAGTCCCCTCAAGAGGCAAGTGGCACTGTCCTCTCTAGGCACCAGGGTACCCGCCACTCATCACAACTGACTCCCGGGGAAGCCAGTGGCTCTGGCAGGCAGCTCTGGGTTCCCAGCAAGCCAGCCCTGGCCCCGCGTTTTCCTTGAGGTGCTCTCCAATGCACACGCTGAACTCATCTGTAGGTTCATCTGTGGAGCTGTGCCTCTTCCTGCGTGTTTGGCAGCGGGACCTATTGCATTGGGACTTTGCAATGCAGATGAGATTTGCTATCTTAGAGGGCCTGGCAAACAACTGGACCTCATTAAAATTTAATTTTTGTTTTAAATTGCTGAAAATGCTTCCTTGGAATACAGTTATCTCTGTGCAGCGTGCGAACGTTTCCAGGTGATGCCAGGCCTGTTCCTTCCGCCCACCCACCTGCCCAGGCACAGGAGCTGGCGAGCACAGACAGAAAACCGAAGCAGGCTCACCTCAGGTTTTATAAGTGTAATGTTATCCTCAGAGAGTCAAAACAAACAGGAGAGGAATAACAAGAAAATTATACAACTGGCCCTCTGACGTGTATGCATGAAAGCAACACAAAACTGGCCACGTTTAATTTTCACCTCTACATTAGAAATTGGCTGTGAGGTATAAACTACACTCCATCAATGTTAATGCATAAGCATATTCGGCCATCCATTAATGTATTTCTGTTGCATTTTTAGAGAAAGTATCCATTAGCAAAGGAATCTAAAAAATATTTTTCTAGCTTTGCTGGGATTAATAGTTCAACAGCTGTTTGCCATCATGCTAAATTAAATGAAATATGTCAATATACTAGACAAGAAAATTAGGGGGAAGTACTGAGGTCTGAGTTGGCATCCTTACAAGCTCAGAGGAATAGGAAATCAACAACTAGAAGAAAAATCTGCATTTGGGGCTTTTTTTYTTYTTTCCAAAGCATATAAACTTCCGTTTCTAAAACTGTATTTGCCATTTTTCAGTCACTTTGATCAAATAAATCAACTATTTACCTGTATGTTTCCTGGCAGTACCAGTACCAGGACTAAAATTAAAACGACCATGTAAACCTTTAAGTTAAAAAAAAAAAAAGATTAAAAGAAATAGATTCCCCTCTGGCCCACTTGCCTTTTAAAAAAAATGCTATCACCATACAAATTGCATATTTTTTCTATTTTCCAGTTTCCTGCTAGCTTGAGGTATACAAGTGAGCAGGATAGGGTAAACAGAAATTGCTGATTTTCCTCTGTGTCACTCTCTGTAACCCTGGAGATGCTGTAGAGGCCTAGACCTGCTCCAGGGTCTCAGCACTATGAATTGCAATAGCACCCTTTACCTGAGGGTACCTGGTGACCACATGGTGGCTGCCACCAGGGGTCAGAACCCTAACACTGCCCCAAGCACAGTCCTCTACATCAAAAGGCCTCCCCTGCAGCGCCCTTACTACTCTCAGGTGTCTGTGTCAGCCTCCGGGGAGGATACATGTGCTGTCCCTGGATCAGCACCATTCAGCATAGGCCCTGCCTGGAACCTGGTCTCAGGTCTGAGCAGAGGTGGCTCGCCCCCTGAGCACTAGCAGCCAGAGTATTTCTCCTATCAGGATTACTTGAAATAAACAGTATGCATCTATGTCACATCCCAGAGTCGGGCAGGCCAGCTCTGGAGGGGGGCCAATGAATTTCATCTCCACCTTTGGCTAACCACAGTGAGTGGTCTCAGCAGGGGTGAGACCCTGGTCCTCGAAGCGGGCAGTGCGGGCAGTGTGGCAGGCCTCAGGTTCCCATCACCCCCAGGCCTCCAACTAGAGGGCGCAGACTTCACGTGCACAAACGTGTCCCAGTGGGCCCAGTTCCAAGAGACGGGTGTCTCTTCAGGGGCGAGTCTTCACTCATCCTGGGCTTACTGGGCAATGATTTCTTAGAGAACAGCAGGGTAYGCAACACACATCTGACTAGTGGAAAAATTAAAGCACCTGGGTGACTTGATCTGCCACACCTGAGACGAGAAAATCCACTTAGATCTGGACTCTGGAATGTTTTCCCCGCATACGAAACTTCAAATAGAGAGTCAGGCTTATGGGAAGAGGGAAGGAGAGAGAGAGGAGGAGGAGAAGAAAGAAATGGGGGAAACAGAGGGTAAGGAGGAAGGATGCACCAGGAAGTCAAGCAGCGATCAATGGCCTGCAGCCCAGGTCTCCCAGCCAGAGGCCACAGACGCACGGGGCCACAGTACACAAGCCACTCTATTTCCTTTTCTTGTCTCCATCAAAAAACGTGCCTGGGGTTCCACCATTTCCCCAGCTTCCTCCCACTCCTGCTGGGAAGGGTTTGCTTCCTGTTCCTCGCSCTCTGGGACCTGTACCAACTCACAGGGCCTGACCCTGGGGTCCATTCCAATAGACGGAGGCCTCGAACAGTAGACCCCAAGTGAGCCACGTGGTACAGGAGCCCGGCCAAGCGTACCTGGCACCACTCTGGCTGGCAGCCCCTCGGGAACACTGCGACGCCCCTTCCTCTCTGGGGAAAGGGCTCTGCTCTCGCCTGCACTCAGCTAGAACCCTGGCCGCGGTCATGGGAATACCGTACAGGTATCCTCTCACAGCCTTTAGGAGGTGAATCCCCAAACAATATTTGCTGTTTTGCCTTTGAAGCCCTAACAAAGCCTTTGTTTTAGATTTACCTCCAGTGTGCAATAAGAGTTAATAATCAAATCCATCCCAACCCCCACAAATGTTAAACAGAAAGATAAAAGAAATGCAAATAGCTATTGTCATGGAAAGTTAAAGTACCTGTCTGTATTTTTAAGTGAAAACTATTATCTCTATCAATCAAAATTTAAGAATACAATAGCGCTAATCACAGAAGGCAACTCTGACGGAGTTACTTTTCCTCATAAAAAAAGAGTATTTTTTCCCTCTTAAAAACCAAGGATAAAAGTCATATACTTACAATTAGATAGCGTATTTGTAATTTTATTATTAAAAACCTTCACCAGCCTCACTGTTAATATGCCTCTAAATCTCTAGACTGACTTGTGCCCAAGAAGACCCAAGTCCCCACATATTTTAATAAGATTGATGAAATTTTATTTAAATTCTCCCAGTTTCCAACCTGCGGGGGAACAGCACACTCTTCTGTTGAAAAGAGTCACTCCGGCGGAGCAGCAGTCGGCTTGGAAGCAGAACTGCAGACCCTGGACCTGGTTCCCACCCCTGGAACATCTTCAGGGGGGGATCCGGCTCCCTGAGGGCTCTTGGCCTCTGCCTGGGCCTCTCCTTTTGGAAACAGTGAACKTCTGCCCTCTCCAGGGAGGGAGAAGAGCCAAGCACACCCCAGAATGATCCAGACGTACAGCTCAGGGAATTCTGAGTCTTTTTAAATTCACTTTTCTAAGCTTGCATGAGCCCCGAGTATGGGGGTTTCTAAAGACGGTACCAGAACACAAAATAGCAAGACCCCAGATAGTAAAACAAAGCTCCTGATTAACATTCCTCCAGCAACCAGTGAGGGCAGGATGCTGTTATC